GCAGGGTCTCTTCATGTTCTCATCTCTCCTGCAAATGTAGATTGCTATTGGTTGTTCCTCACTGCTTGCTAGCCTGGCAATGGGGAGGAGGGCACTTAGGGCTTTTTGTCCTGGTCAAGCCTCACCTGCTTGGTTGCTGTTTATCATCTCTGGCTCATTTTCAAGTTTTCTTTTGTTTGAAAGTTTTTAAATTTTGGCTTTCTGTTCTCTAATACTTTCGGTATATTGGAGTGTTTGCAAGTGTCATTCTGCTTTTTGGGGGGTTTATTATTTTTAATTATGTCTTGCTTACTCACATGATTTTGATGTAGCTGGGATTTTTTTATGTTTGTCTATGAGTTCATATGTCTTGGAACTTTAGGCACGGTAATACTTTGAGGTTTATGTTAAAGTTGCATTTTTGTTGACCTGGTACGGTGGCTCACACCTGTAATCCCAGCACTTTGAGAGGCTGAGGTAGGTGGATCACCTGAGGTCAGGAGTTTGAGATCAGCCTGGCCAACATGGTGAAACGCCATCTCTACTAAAAATACAAAATTTAGCTGGGCATGGTGGTGCTTGCCTGTAATCCCATCTACTTGGGAGCCTGGGGCAGGAGAATCACTTGAACCTGGGAGGTGGAGGTTGCAGTGGGCCAAGACTGCACCATTGCACACCAGTCTGGGTGACAGGAGCAAAACTCCATTTCAAAAAAAGAAAAAAAACCCTGCATTTTTGTAAGGAAGTTTTGCATTTGTTGTTTCTGCTATTGTATATTAATAGTGCTGAATGTCTTTCAGTTTACCTGCACGCTTGAGGTATTATGAATTCAAACTACAGATCTGCATGAGGGATGGCTTGTGGTTTTGAATTCTCAGGGGAAGGCACTTTTTGTTTAGTTGCTTCCCTCTTCCCCTTTTCCCAGTGCCAGGCAAGTTTTCTTTCTGTCCCCTTCTGCTTATACCTTGCTTACCCTTGTAATGAGGGTGTAGCTGTTTGGGATGAGCTTTATGTGTAGGTTTCTATTAGATTCCTCAACTTTGATAGAGTCTCTTGTTTCATCTCTTGTCTCTCTCACTCCCTACAAACATCAGAGTGAAAAATCTTTAGAGTTTAACAGAAACTGTCTGGTAGATCAAGGACTTTATTGGTTTCCCAAGTTCAAGTATTTTTGCTTTCACATCATTCTTGGCCTTTGGATTCTGCACCTTTTGTGCCATTTCAGTTGTGTTTGTGGTTTTATTTTTTAAAAATCTTAACATTGTTTTTAATGCAGGCTTTAATGTTTTAAATACCACAATTCAGTTATATTCAGTGGGAACTTTGTTAAGGGCATTTAATTCTTTATATTCCTGGAATAAAAGTCATGATTAGATTTTTCTTTGCATTTGGTACTTTTCCCAAGATTTTGAAACGTAGAAAGCCTTTTCCTAAATTTATTTTACTTTCATTTTTACTCTGTAAAGCCTTTATTGTTTAAATCTCTGCATTGCTCAATAAGTGGTAGATATTAAAAGACCTAAGAATCATGTAATGTTGGACTTTTGCCTAAAGTAGATAATCTGTTTTATATTTCGGGATAGAGCAATATGAAGTTGGACTTTTTAGTCACACTTGGGTTTTGAGTCCTGATTCACCTACTTGTGTGAATTTACTTTTTTTTTTTTTTTTTTTGAGACAGAGTCTCACTCTGTCACCCAGGCTTGAGTGCAGTGACATGATCTCTGCTCACTGCAACCTCTGCCGCCCGGGTTCAAGCAGTTCTCCTGCCTCAGCCTCCCGAGCAGCTGAGATTACAGCGCCTGCCACCGTGCCTGGCTAATTTTTGTAGTTTTTAGTAGAGATGGAGTTTCACCATCTTGGCCGGGCTGGTCTTAAACTCCTGACCTCATGATTCACCTGCCTCGGCCTTCCAAAGTGCTGGGATTACAGGCGTGAGCCACCCTTCCCAACCTGTGAATTAACTTTATGATACTCTGTACCACCTATACAATAGGAAAAGTAACTATGTAATAGGGTTATTGTGAGCCTTAAATGAGATAAGCTACAGTTTCTGGTATATGGCCTTGTGTATACCTTTTGAGGACCTTATACATAATTCCAAGGACCTATGTATTTGAGGCAAAAGGGAAAATTTAGTTAAACACCCATTTTGGCAAATGTCTTGAATATTAGGTGAACAAAGATGAATGTAATATTACATAATACAGTTCCTGCCTTAGAGAACTTGTTATCTTATTATTAGTGAGGTTGGTATGCTTAGTGCTATAGAAGGAGTAATATCTTTCTGGAGTAGAGGAGGGATTAGTTGAACTAGGTCATAAGATGTAGGTAGGAGGCAAATATGTTGGCAAAGACAGAATGGGCTTTTAGCCAGAAGTGACAGCTGCATATGTAAAGGTCTGAAGGCAGTAGAGAACATGTCCCATTTTTGAAAAGTCTAGGTGTATATACACAATAAGCCAATCGAAGTCTGAGGAGTGGTATATCTTTTGTGATTATGGAAGAGATGGCTGTTGAGATAGGTAGTGTCTAAATGATAGCATGTGAAGACAGAATGGGTATGATAACCCAAATTGAAGAAATAAGTTACTTGGCATAGTATAAGTTATTTATATATAGGGGCACAGGAATAGTCACATTGAGTTGGTTGCTACTTATTCTTGAATTCACACCTGAACAGAACAGATTAGATATCAGCTCTTAGAAATCATTAGAAAATTTTGTGTATCTAATTAGAATTTTTGTGGGAAAGCAAATAAGGGAGCAGCTTTTCAGGATTGTACGTGTAAGATAAGGTGATAAAAGCATTTTGGGAATGGAGTTTATAATGACTTTGAATATCAAATGTAAGAGTTTAAAATTTATTTGGTGTCAACATTAGAAGTCCCTTGTGGCATTTTGAACAGGAAACCTGAGAAATGGTGATTATCTAGGTGATTTGTCTGACCATGCAGGATAGAATTGGAGAGGAACATGCCTAAAGCAGCAGGATCACCTCTTGCTGTGGTTTGGGACTGAAGTGATTAAGACTTGAATTAAGGAGAGGTGGTAATGGGAATGAAAGAGCATTATGGGAGGGATTTATAGAGAATTGACGATCTGAGAGAGAATTGAACCAAAGATTTGGAAGACAAGCAGGGGTGCTGAGAATGTTGATATGATACAGTAGTCTCCCACACCCCCATATCTGCAATTTCACTTTCCACATTTTCAGGACTGTGGTACTGTTGAAAGAGAGAGGAGCTAAATGATGAGAACACATGGACGCATAGAGGGGAACAACACACACTGGGGCCTTTTGGTGGAGGGTGGGAGGAGGGAGAGGATCAGGAAAAATAACTAATAGACACTAGGCTTAATACCTGAGTGCTGAAATAATCTGTATAACAAACCCGTGACACAAGTTTACCTGTGTAATAAACCTGTGCTTGTACTACTGAACTTAAAATAAAAGTTAAAAAAAAAAAAAGAGAGACCATATTCACATAACTTTTTTTTTTTTTAAGAGGCAGGATCTTACTGTGTTGCCCAGGCTGGATGTTAACTCCTGCGCCCAAGTGATCCTTTCGCCCTAGCTTCCCTGGTAGCAGGGACTACTGGCACTCGCCACTGCGCCTGCCCCCCCACATAACTTTTATTACAGTATATTATTATAATTTTATTTTATTATTAATCTCTTCTGTGCCTAATTTATAAATTAAACTTTATCATAGTTCTGTAAATACAGAAAAATACGTGGCATAGGTAGGATTTGGTACTGTCTGCAGTTTCAGGTATCTAGTGGAGATCTTGGAATGTATCCCCCTCAGATAAGGGGACACCACTGTGTTTGGGTGGGTGCCTAGGAAATTTTTGGTAATATCGAGAACTCTGACATCAGCAAAAAGAGCAGTTATAGGGAAAAACTAAAACCACCACTTGTTATTTATTAGATGTGAGCTTAGTTATACAGGTAGATTTTTGGTGCATATCAATATACCTTTATAAAAATAGTTAATTTAAAAAATTATGGTATAGTCTGTGATTGGACAGGCAGTGCAGTCTTGTATCAATGGCATAAGCTGTTGAGATAGATAGGTCTATATTCCTCCTCACTTTAAAAAAAAATTTTTTTTTTAATTTTTTGAGACAGGGTTTTTGTCCTGTTGCCCAGGCTGGAGTGCAGTTGTGCAGTCATAGCTAACAGCGGCTTTGAACTCCTGGGCTCAATCAATCCTCCCACCTCAGCCTCCTAAGTAGCTGGTACTACAGGTGCACACCACCATGTCTGGCTTATCTTTTCTACCCCTGTAGAAATGCGGTCTTGCTCTGTTGCCCAGGTTGCCAACTCACCTTTAATAAGTATCACTGTTGTGAGACTGGAATGTCACTAATATCTTTGGGTTTTTCTTTGTCTACAAAGTAGAGATAGTAATATCTGCTTACAGGGCTGTTGTGTGAACTAAGTACTTAATGTGTAGGCACGCTGGCCTATTTTAAACTCCTAACAAATGTTAATTTTCCATTTTATTATTCTTACTTAGAAGATGCCAGCCTTACTTGTGGCTATTGTCATGCATTAAGTTGAAAATTAAAGAATATTGCATAAAGTTTTCTTGTTTTACTTTTTAACAGTTAACTAAAACCATAACCAGGATTGTTTGCTAAGTAAAATATGTTTATAATCAGGCATTTGGTAATTAGAGGAACTCTGAAGTTGTAATTATTGAATATGTAGGTGTAGTTAACAGCCTTCATTTCTGGTAAGTGACTTTGCTTAGAGGATGTATATTTATGTGAGACTGTTTATGTGCACAAGAGAGACTGTTTCCTGGACGGAAACTGTGGTCTCCAGATCTTTATAATAACATCACCTTTAATCTTTAACTCATGAGCGTTGTGCTATACAGACGGTTTTCTTGAGGCAGTTTTTTATAAGAAGTAAATGAAGCTTCCTTATGAGCCTGTTAAGACTCCATAGACTGTCAATAATATGGAAAAATTTGATATTTAATCAGGAATATGAACATGTGTTTCAGGTAGAGAATGCCAAAGATAATGAAGATAGTATTCTACAAAGAGAAATTCCTGCCAGACAATCCCGAAGAAGATTTCGGAAAATTAACTATAAAGGAGAGCGCCAAACCATTACTGATGATGTGGAGGTTAACAGCTATCTTTCTGTGAGTATATTTAGGAACACTTCATGAATCTTCCTTAATTTTCATATATAGTATCTTTACATGTATCTTTGGTAATAACACGCTGGGTTCTGTATGTAAAAGTTTGGGGCTGGTAAATATATAATCTTTTTAAATACTTCTGTTTGGTAGAATTGGTTAGGAATACTCTTACCAGTCGGAGTTCTGTTTTTGCTTTTTTGTTGTTGTTTAAATAATGAAAAAAGTTCTTAGGCCAGGTGCGGTGGGTCATGCCTGTAATCCCAGCACTTTGGGAGGCCTAGGCGGGCGGATCACAAGGTCAGGAGTTCAAGACTGGCCTGGCCAATATGGTGAAACCCCCATCTCTACTAAAAATACAAAAATTAGCTGGGTGTGGTGGTGCATGCCTGTAGTCGCAGCTACTCAGGAGGCAGGAGGCAGAGGTTGTAGTGAGCCAATCAGCCTGTGCAACAAGAGCAAAACTCCATTGCAAAAAAAAAAAAAAAAAAAGTAAGCTGTATCTTCAAAAGTCTTTAATTTTGTAGTTGTGAATAGCTTCTTTTTAGACTGAAAAGTAGTTAAATCAAGAAATAAGGGTAATCTGAAAAAATCATGTGTATTTTTGAGGGGAGAGGTTTCATAGTTACCAATTTCCAAAGTACGATTTCTAGAATATTAAAACAATTAGTACAGAGCATTTCCTCTTGTTTGCATGTGTTAAAAATAATAATAAAAAGGATGATTGATTATAGTGAAATTCCCAAGGATGTGTTTAGTTCTTTCAGTTGTTATAAATAGATATTTACTCATTCCATGTTAGGTGTTAGGAATAAGAAAGATTGTTTCGAGAGCTGTTTGTACTGGAATAAGTGTTAGCATTAAGACAGCTCTGATATTAGTCACACAGGGTTTCACCGTGTTAGCCAGGATGGTCTCGATCTCCTGACCTCGTGATTTGCCTGCCTCGGCCTCCCAAATTGCTGGGATTACAGCCATGAGCCACAGTCCCCAGCCTTTTCCTTATTTTTAAAAAATTAAGGTGCTAAGTGCAATGTATGCCCACATTTTAATTTCTGTAGAAAAAATGTCAAGAGGTAGAATTAATAAATGAATCTTTAATTGTAATATTTGGTTTTCCTTGTATGAGCTAGAGTGCATACATTGTGTGTGTTTTGATTGCTTGCTCATTCTAGTCTCAACTTCAGTATCTTCTTTTCTCACATTTTTTTGGTGTGCTGTCATGAATCCTAGACAGATTTCATATTTTCTTTATTAACTGTGGGCCATGCTTGTGAGTCATTTGCTTTTAGGCCTCCTCTGTACTGAGAGTTGTCGTCTTCTAGATATACTGATTTCCTGGGATCAGAAAGAGCAATAGACATACTCCTTATGGATTCCATTTGTTTGATAATGCTAAGTATAGTGGCCTTTTTGCATGTATACCTAGTGTTAGATGGTGATCTTACTAAGTACTGTCAAGAGTTTGACAAATCATGAAAAGGAGAAATTGATTCATTTTAGACAAAACTGATCTATTAACTGTGAGACCGGGTTAGAGAAGCTTTTTGGTCATGTTATGTACATGTGCTGTTTCTTGAATTAACGGAGTCATTTTTTCCTAAAAAGGATATATTTCAGTTAACTTAGAAAATATGGTATTGAAGGTTTCATTTACTTTTAATTAATGCTACCAATTATGTAACACCTGTGAGTCTGGCCAGTGTCCTACAATGTAGGCAGTTGGTCTAGGTAAGGGTGCTATGTAGCAAAAATCTTAATCATGTTTATGAGAGCAGCAAGAAGAGAATTGGTTTAATGGCCTTTATAGGGTTCTTTATGTCTTTTGTTCTATTATCAGCAATTCAGAGAGAAAAAGATCAGGAGGAATCATTTCTTCTTTTAGACAACAGTGGAAATTTGAGTCTGTTTGTTTTTTCCCTTAATGTGTAAACCATCATCTACTTTTTCTTGCTAGAGTGTTGAAGGGTAAAAAAAATTTAAAGATGTTACTGTTGTTTATCGTAATTATTCTTTAGTACCCAACTTGTACAAGGGTTTGCATTAAAGATTTTGCGTGTATTTTAATTATTTTCTAACTAAATTCTTAGAATGACTGAAAAAGATGATTTATTCGTATGAAATATTTTTATAGTTTTGTCGTTTTATTGCTTTGTATAAACATGAACCCTAATCTTAATGCGACTTTTTTTAATGTACAATGAGCACTTCTATAATCGTAATAACATTTTTGAAGCTCTGTTGAGTATTGCTCTTGAGTTTGCAACAATTTTTTTGATACAATTTCTTATCACTTTATTGAGATATTATTAAAGTTAATGCATTACTCGTATTTAAAGTGCACACTTTGGGCCAGGCGTGATGGCTCATGCCTGAAATCCCAGCACTTTGGGAGGCCAAGGCAGGCGGATCACTTGAGATGAGGAGTTTGAGACCAGCCTGGCTAACATGGTGAAACTCCATCTCTACTAAAAATACAAAAAGTAGCTGGACGTGGTAGCACTTGCCTGTAATCCCAGCTACTCAGGAGGCTGAGGCAGGAGAATCACTTGAACCCAGGAGGTGGAGGTTGCAGTGAGCCAAGGTCATGCCACTGCACTCCAGCTTGGGCTACAGAGTGACACTCTGTCTCAAAAAAACTAAATTTTTTTTAATGAAATTTTGATTTTGATCAATTTTGACATATGTATAATAAACTTTTGAAACCATCACCATATTCAAGATTATGATTACTTCCATCACCCTAAAGTTTAGGATTGTCTCCCTTTGTAATTCATCTTTTCTAAATCCCCATCTTCAAGCAACCATTTATCTGCTTTCTGTCACGGTGGATTAATTTTAGTTTCTAGAATTTTATGTAAATGGCATCATATAATGTGAATTTTTTGGGGGCTGGTTTCTTTCACTTATTATAATGATTTTGAGACCATTCCCTGTTGTGTGTATCAATTGTATTTTTTCCCCTCTCTTATTGGTGAGTATTACTTCATTATATGAATATACCACAATTTGTTTCTCTGTTTGCCAGTTTATGAATATTTGCATTGTTCCAGTTTTGAGCAATTGCAAATAAAGCTACTATGAACATTTATGTACAAATCTTTGTTGATACATATACTTCCATGTCTCTTAGGTTAATACCCAGGAGTGGGTGACTGGTCATATGGCAAATGTATGCTTAATTTTATAAGAAACGACCAAAATTGTTATTTAGTGTGGCTGTTGCATTTTACATAATTTGTGTTCTTTGAAAATGACAGTTTCCACATCCTCACCAACACTTGGTATTGTCAGATTTTATTATTATTTTTTAAAATTTTAATAGTTATATAGTGGTATCTCATTTTGATTTTAATTTACATATCCCTGATTTACAGTGTTGAGCCTCTTTTCATGTACTTATTAGTGATTTGTATATTCATATTCCTTTGTAAAATATTCAAATATTTTTAGAGTTTACAACAAATTTAAATGTCTTCATATAGTCTCAGAAATTTCAGAGTTTTGATCTTTGAGGCAGATGACTTTGGTATTTAGATAGCAGAAAGGTGATCAAGAGCAATATTTAGTGAGCAGGATGAGTAATCAAGCCTAGTATAAAAAGTCCAGTATTTAGATGAACCATCTATCTTGAATTCTTGCTTCACTAACTGAATGATGACAGGTCATCTAAATCTTTGGTGCTTCACCTCTAAAAATGAGGATATTGTAATACCAGGTTTGCCTGTCTTGGGGGTGGTGGTTGAAATTTTTAGAACATGTGTGTGTATTCACAGTCTAATCAGTCAATAATATCTACAGATTCTTCCTTTCACGTGTTTCAGAATTTGTGCTTTTCACTTAATTTGCCCATGTCATTTCTTTACTGTTCACCTTTTTCTTTATAGGACTGTTGTAATAGCATCTCTCAAAATCTCCCAGCCACCTTTCACTGTAAAAGCAGTATTGTTTCATTTTAGGAGATTTTGAAAAATTAGAAAACCTGAAAAGCATTGTTTAATTTCTTTATCAGAAGATATCTACTTAATTAGTTTGTTTCTTTGATTTAAAATTTTTTATCTTCTCTCTGAACTTGTTTCCCTATCGCTAGCCCTGCTTTCTACATCCTCCCCTTTACCCTTGCCAGTAACTAGTCCATTTATTTTGCTTCTGTCCGTTCTAAGTGAAGCTCTAACAGTGTCACTTGTTTTAAACTCTTAAATCTGTTACGGCCTACCACCAGTTATCAGAAAAATTCCAGTGATCTAGCATGCAAAGAAATTCATAGTCTAGACCAGTCCTGTTTAATAGAATTTTCTGTTATGATGGAAATGTTTTATGTCTGTGTCATCGAAATTGATAGCAGCTACCTAGCCATAGTATTGAGCTATTGAGCACAATTTACAAGTAAATAACCACATGTCCCTAGTTGGACAGCACAAATCTAGACTTTGTTCACTTCTCCAACTTTATCTTTTACCTGTTTTCTATGTATTTCCTATTTTTTGGCCATACTGAACAAGCTTGCTGACCCTTGAAGAAACCATGTGTTTATGTACATCTCTTGTATATACAATTCCTTTTACTTAAAATGTATTTTTATTCTTTGTCCTCTTAACAAAAGTCTCAAGACTTAATTTCACATCATGTCATGGAGAACTCTGATTTTTTTCTTGGGAAGGATTAAGCACATATCTGCACTCCCATAATGTCTTGTTTATGTGCCTGTAAGCACTCATTATGCTGAGTATAATTACAATTATACTATATTGCAGTGTAATTGTTTATTTAAATATCTCTCTCATCAGAATGGATGCTCCTAGAAGATGTCAACCATCATAATTGTAACCTTAGAGTATAAAAGAAAATAAGAGTGCCTGTTCTGTCAGCTTGCTTAGCATCCTGTGTAACTTTGGGCAAGTTGTGTGACCTTTGTATGTCTGTCTTGATAGATAACTTATAAATTTATAAAAGGATTAAGTGAGATAATATATAAAAAGGGCTCTGCCTAGTGTCTGGTGCTC